GTTGGTGGGACTCCTCTTTCTTTTGCAAAAATAAAACAGTAAAAATGCAAATTTCAATAAATTACTTTGCAAAATAAATAGAAACAGTAATATTGCTAGGATTATCTGCAGATAACGGTTTCCGTGCGGTTCCTGTGGTTATGCATGAGTTAGTCAGCTGGGTTGAGAAGCATCTTCACACTGCACAGACTGCACACACCAGTTACTCCTGAGGGGTCCATGTAGGCCATCTCCCTCTCTCTTCTTTCTGGGGGTGGAGTGGGGAGGTAGGACTGGTTTTTGGGAACAAAGCTACCTGCGTAACTGCTAACAGACCATTTTGCACACTGCTTGGAACCGTTGTGAAAATCTTACAAAATCTTCCATGCAGCTGGGGGGCTCTCCTGGGGTGACTGGGGGGCCCTCACCATCATGCTCGCATGTGGGTCTCTCTAGGATGAACTATCCTGGACCCACCTCCGTGTCAACTGGCTGCACTGTTGGAAACGCGCTCTGTGCCAACAGAACCGGTGCCGTGAGTGGACATGGGGAACGGGGGTGGACATGACTGAAACAAGAACGAGTGAGTGCCCCCTCGCTGCCCTGGAGAGTCACCCCACAACAGGCCAGTTCAATAAAAAAGAGAGTTTATAATTAGGATTGAACGGGAAGGTGGTGCCCAGAGGTCTCCAGAGAGCCACATTTTAAGGCTTTTTGGAGGGGGGGTGCCTGCTCTCTGGTACCAGGAGTGGCAACCACCTCTGGGTCCTTTCCCTTTGTGCCGGCCCTCAGGTGACAGCAGAACCAGACTTTAGCCAGAGGAGGGGCTGCCTCAGCAGCCCACGGGTGATGCCAGAGCAGCTGAGGTCTGACAAGGCAGGGCTCGCTCAGCCACAGAAACACGTTTTCTTATTTATTAGAAACATTAAAGGAAAGAAAAGGAAAAAACACTGGAGGAACTTAACTTGTAAAGTCCACACCACAATAAGGAAAAAGCAATCCTATTATAAGGAAAGAAACCCCAAACGTGCAGGAGATGCCTTCAGCTTTTCCTCCAGGTCTCTCGTCAACACAAAAGATTCACACAGAACGAAACTTGCACACAGGGGGTTGGCAAAGCCTTTTTTTCCTCTCGCACAAATTTCCCACCACTGATAGGTACAGCCCTTTATTCCTCAACTAATGTTAAAATACATTTTGATAGGTTAAGTTTATTTTTGCAAAGCAGAGTAGTTTGCAAAATAAGCCTGTGGACACTAATGGAGGGCGTGACAGCCGTGTACCAATGGCTCCCCCCCAGAGACATGGTGGGTGCTGCACGGATTTCCACACCTGGAGGTATGTACCTGGGAGTGTGGCGAGTCCTTTTGTCTTGAGTCACCGAATTCCTGACAGTAAGCTACCAGAATTAATAAATTAAATCATTTTGGAGAGCATGAGCTTTGTAAAGTAACAGATCCAAACTTTTCGGAACTCTACTTGAGCCACTGGGTGGTAAATAGGTAAGAAAAAGTCCACAGTAACTTAGTGAATATAAAGTATTCATTTAAGAGGAAAGGTGCGCTACCAGAATCCATGAAAATAAAAAAAATCAAGCTTTCAACGACAAAAGAAAAAACATTTACACGTTCCCACTTTCAGAGGGGATTTGAACAAATAGCAAAAAGCATTTAAACTCCAAGAGCCCGCAGTGGGGTCCCTTCCCACCTAAAGTTACCCTTCCATGGAGACAACCCTGTGACAATATAAGGGTGCAAAATATCGCTCTGTGGCATATTCTGAAAATAATATAAAAATAATTTCTATAGTACAGTTTAAACTTGGCTTGTAAAATTTCAACGTAACAACATAAAATCTACAAACAGAATACACTTAAAAACACCTTCCTTTAACAATATATTATTTTTTAAAAAGTCATATACCCAGGTAATGCACATGCGGGAAATGTGAAGTAAATTACTGAAATAACCTCCACTGGGGTTGCAAAGTATCTGGGATTCTTCTGGAAACTTGCTGTCGCTTCGAGACATCCGGCCTTCCCAGAAAGGAAAGTTTAGCCAGATGAGAAGGGAAGGCAGCTGACAGGCAGCATCTGCCACGAAGCCCAAGTCCAGGAGGTGCATCCTGGTGGGGCTCTCAGCCTTTCTAGAATGGGAACTGGCTTTCTTCCTTTTGTCCAGAACCCAAATCCCTTCCCTTTCCCTGCTCCACAAAAAGCCCCCAAGTCATAGAAGGACATTAGGGGACCTCTTGGCCCACATGTAAACAACACAGCAGTTTCTAATAGTTCCGTTCCAGCCGGATAAGTTAATTTGGTCTGGGAGCTCTCTGGCCAGGGACCAGTTCTAAAGAGCTCTTCTGAACAACACGAGCATACTGTTGGTACACTGGACTAGTAAATGTAATCCAACAGCAGGCTCCCTCACATTTTTAATACTGTTTAAAGGATGGATCCAGATCTCTCACAAAAGGAATTGGCTATTTGTAAACGATGTGGACTGAGTCGTATCCGGTCAGGTGCCCTGGTGTGTCGAGCTGCCTCGTGACCATGCTGAGAAGCCAGGGCCTTCCACGTGGCCCATGGCTGGATCTCAGGCTCTTAACCATGGCACATCTGTCACATGAGGGTGGGGCAGGGGTGACTGAAATTCAAGGAGACAGAACACACCACCGGTTTTTGATAATACCTATGAATTACACTGCCTAGTTTTGAAGGTTTTCCTCTGGTATTACAATGGATGTTTTTATTCTCAGTTTGCCTTTTTTTTTTTTTTTTTTTAAACCTGGCAGAGAGCATGAGAAAGATAGAATATTTTGCATAGCCAGTTTTGGAAATTTCTGGTTAGCTGTAATAACATTAAAAAATTAAAAAACAAACACGAATTTACTTTATGCCTCCTTGGCTTCTTGTGTGTATGGGTTTGGTTTCTGAATGCACAGTTAAGAGTTTTCAAGGTTGGCCGTCCTCGACCTTCTTAGAGGGAGGAGTGAGGGCAGTAGCCAAAGAGTGACCATGAAGCAATCCTTCCTGTGACCTCACAGCTTTGGATGGCAAAGCAATCGCTCAGCATGACATGAAGAATCAGTCCAAAGAGCTGCCACAAACCCTCTCGATGAGAGATTTTTAAAAACTACTTTTTGTTGTTGTTGTTCTGAGTAACAAAAGAAACTCCAGTAATATGAGGGACGTGGATGTTAGTAATTACCCCACATTGAAAGTATCGTTCAGCATGAAAAGTAAAACTTCCAAAAAATTTCTTAAAAGATTTTATTTAATAAATAATTTTGATTAAGGAACCACTTATGCAAAACTTGAATAAATTACTGAAAACTCCACGTGCTGTGGAGTAATTAAAAACAAAAAGGAATTACTCACAGGAGATATACTCAAATTAGTTTATTATAATTCTTCAAACAAGTAAAAAACCTCCCCTCCTCTTATTAGTATTTTTTTGCTGCTCTTTATGTCAGGGAGAAAAGTATCCTTTCTGGAGAAGGAGAAGCTGGCTCCAATGAAGAGATGGGCTACCTCCTGCATTTTCTGAGGACCCACTCACAGCAAAGCTGGGCACTGTCTCCTTTCTTTCTTTCTTAGGATTATCATAGGCTATTCTAAGGCTCTCATAGGTTTTAAAGTATTCTTTTGCTAGTGAGGATTTTACCCACCTTATCTGTATTTCTTGGTAACAAGATCTCTCCTTAGTGAGCCAGGTTTAACTCCTCAGTGTCCTTGGCCAAGAATGGTAATCTCCAGAGGTAATCTTGGAAGGAAGAGGCTGCATATTGCTGCTCAATACAGGGTAGCTAAGGACACATTTTTTTTTTCCTCAAAAAATGTAGGAGGCACCAAAAAAGGGACGGCTCAGGGATGGAGCTGCCCCCTCAATGCGTTATGGAGCCACTGGCAGGGTTATCCCTGCCCTGTGGAGTGGACCCCAGTGGGCGTGGCGCCCCTTTACCTGGCTGGACCCAGACAGATGCGGGTGGGGGTGGCGGTGAGCTTCCTTCCCGGCTTCCCTCAGCCCCTTCCCCTTGGAAAGAGACGCAGGCCGGGTTTCAAAGCAGCCTAGTGGGGGGCTTACACAGTGACCAGAGGGTCAATTCCTCGTCTCTCTCCTGGGACACCGATGATCACTTCCTAGGGGGCCTCCGGCGACAGTACACTGTGGAAGTGTCTTCAAAGGAGAAACGTGAGCAGGCTGTCATGTTTGCTCATATATGGGCAACTCCAAAAAGTGAGTTCAGACCTTGGTTTCTAGACCCAAGGTGTCTTTGGGAAGCTCCTGTCACCTGAGCTGCCCGGCACCTGGATCGATCACTACACCTCACCGCGCGCTGCGAGGTAGGTTGTCCGGTGCCCATCCTACGGACGCCTGCGGCTTTGATGGCAGTGTGAATGCCGGGGCTGTGGGAGAAGGTTTTGCTCATGAGCTCGAGCTGTGTATTCCTAAAAGGCCACAGTGACCACCAGGGCGTCAGCAGTCGGCAGAGTGCGTCCTCTCCTCCAAAGACTGGGGAGGGGAAGCAGGTGGGGGCCCGCAGCAGAGCCGCCACCGCATTCGGGGCCGCGTTTGCTTCTAAACTCTGGGTGGTACCGATTGCACACATGTGACCGCTAAATGGAAGAGGTCAGTCGGTAGATTAGGGAAAAGCAGCAAAATTAAATAAAAGAAGGAAAGAAAAAGCATGTAAAACACTCCCTTCTAAAAACAAAGGGCTGCAAATTTCTTTATTTCTCTTATTGAGGAACAAAAATACTCTTGCAATGGCTATTGAGTTTCCACAGGTACGAGGCAGATGCTAGCTAGCACACCCACTTCCAACAGTATGACTTGTTTCCTATCCGTCTACTACCTGAGTGGCGTCAGTGTAGGTTCAGGCACCATTAGGAACGTTTGACCAAACACGTACACAGCACTGACAGAGGAGTCGCCGGCCTTCCGGTTGACCAGGGCATGTAAAAAAGACACCGACAGAATGGAAAAGAAATCCTTTATGGTAAAAGCTCGCGCGCGGCGCGCTCAGGGCCGGGCCCCGCGCGCCTCGCGCCGCCGCCGCAGCTCCTCGCGGTAGCAGTACGAGCAGTAGTGCTCGGTCTCGGCGCGCCCGTAGAACGCGCAGTTCTCGCGCTGGCAGCGCCGCTGCGCCGGGCCCGG